TCATCATCATCATCATCATCATCATAGTAACGTCTCAGGGTTGAAAGTCTGATAGTGGAGTTGATGGTTGAAAGACTCATGACGATGGCGGAAATGAAAAAGACAAGTCACCCAAGACACCTCTTCATGAACAGACATTGGGCTTGTTGTGATGCGTGCATCATGCAAGGCATCACACGAAGGGAGATGCTATTCGCGTTGCCACAGGCCTTCTCACAGACTATGCTCGCATAGGGTATGTAGAGAATGTCCCCAGCGATCACATATGTCACACGTAGTGAACCAAGCTTCTCAAAAATGTTGGGGTCGGTGTCGTCCAAATCACGAAAATCAGCAGATACATCCTGTGGCACAGACAGTGCACACCAGAACCACTCATGAACCATAACACTCCATTCAACGAGAATGACTCTAAAATAAACGGTAAAGAAGCTGTAATGGATTGTGGACCTTAACATGATGGCAATATAGTTACTGCAAGCTGCTGCTGAATGCAAAAAAAACCAACATCACCACTACCCCAACACTCCTCCAGGAGCTTGATAAATTCACTGATGCCAGCTTCCTCATTTTCCATGAGTTCCGTGACATGGGGGTGTTTGAGCTTAGCCATCTCAAGGGCATCCACCGTAGCAACCAATCGGGTTCCTTCATATTGATAGCATAGGGCCCCCGTACCAAAAGGGAGTGTGCCAGTGTAGCAGCTACCCTGACGAGAGCCACACCACGTCACCCCTTTGATGCGGTTGACATCCTTGGTCAGCTCAGCTTCTGCCACAGGTGGCTGCAAAGATTGGCCGTAGGCCCACGACCTGGGGCCGGGGTTCGGTTTGGTGGGAGCTGGACAAGGCATATGGAGTCGATGATGATATAGATGCTCGTCTAGTCGTCTAGTCAAGTAATACAGTAATACAATACTTCTAGATTCTAGATTCTATAATTCTATACTATAGTAATCTATAGTAGTAGTCGCGTCGCTGCAGTAGTATTAGTATAACAGTACAACTAACTTATATTAATTAGTAAGGTGGTAAAATCATCAGAAATCTACAAGAGCCCAAAGTGGATCCCAGTAGCACTGAACAATGACCAATTAGGTGAAGATTACATATGATTGAGTGGTTGACTTGATGGGAACTGAAGTTCGATCTGGGAGAAACCAGGAGAATGAGATTTGATCATAGCTCATAATTCTGAAATCATTCTGAAACCTGAAGCTTGATCATCGAATCAAAACCATCGATTAATGATTAATGTTCACATGCATTGTGACACCAAGATACTTGTCTGCAAAGCTGTTGCGACACAGCACAGCATCACTGAAGTCTTCTTTGCACTCAATTTTGATCAAGTTGTCAATCTCACACTGGAGTTGCTTGTCTAATCCAAGTGCTTCTCCGGGTCCTTCAGCAGGGGACCCGAGACGACCCGATGAAGTTTTGTTCACATCTTTCGTCCATATCTCGCTGCATTCATTCGCAAAGCGCTGCGCGTCAGCGTTCAGCATCTTTGACATGATGTTGATTTGGTTCGGATTGAGCTCAGGTGAAGCCTGTTGTCGGGTGAAGACGTGAAGACCAAACAAACCAAACTAATCAGAACTTTCAACAGACATTGGACATGCAGCAGCCTGCAGCATAATGATTTTGTCCACAAGTACGAGGGTCAGATTCGAATGAATGATGGGAATGGGAATGGGAATATTTATATTATCATCATGTCATGTCACATTGTCATTGTATGTATTTGTCTTGTGTCGTTTATCGTGAATGTTATGTCACAGTCCTTCGTGATAGGAGTGTCTTTCTTAAAGGCAAATTTGGTCTGAGACTAAATCTGATGGCATGATATAACAAAGCCAAGATGCGCTGAGAATCTTCTTGGTCATGCCCTTCTTCAATCGCAAGACTGCTGGGACTGCGGGAAACTGGGCAATCTGGTGCACAAAGCGCTCCAGCTCATCAGAGATTGAGGTAGAAGGCAACTGCTGCGACACCCGTAGAGTTCGCAGCACCGATGGATCGGATGGTTCCAAGTCTGTGGCAGCAGTACCTGTGCGTCGTCGACGCAGCTTGCTCACTTTGCCCTCCTCCGCCTCCTCATCACTCTTGTCACCGTCCTCTGTGGTCTTCTTGTCTGCAGCTGCTGCTGCTGCTGCTGCTTTCTCTTCTTTCTCACGTTTTTTCTTTTCATCTCTAGCAGCTGCCTTTGCTAGTCTGACTTTCTTTTTTTCCTCGTCCTTCTGAACCTTGTCCTCTGCTTTCTTCTTGGCCCGTTCTTCTTCAGCATAAGCTTTCGCCAGTGCTGCAGCTCCTGTCCTCCATGATTCAGATTCTTGTTCAACACATTTGATTATGCGTTGAAGCACAGACAACGCTGTGCGTTGCTGATCCATCAGCTCTATCACACGAGCAGAACTGGGCTGGATGTCCAATAGCTTCTCTCTGATCCATTTGATTTTTCCGAAGCACTGTACTCCTTCAGCATCTGCCAACAAGTTCATCTGTAGCTCTTTGAGGTATGGATCCTCTAAACATCGTTTCAGAAGATCTTTGCTAGCAGAGTCACCATCCTTGCCCGTGGACAAGTCCATGGCACATCGCAACAGGTCAAGGCGTCGTCGAAGGAGTTCAAGACTCGCGTCACTGTCGACCGCCTCCTGGATGCAAGGGACTAGCTATGGGTGTTGCATGGTGTTGCTTGGGTGTCATTAGGCAGCTTGGGTATCCTCAAAGGATATCGATAAAGGTCGGTCGGTGAGTCTGAGTTGGGTATTGGGCTATTGGGTATCTAATCTAGTTAGTGCACTAAGTTGTTTTCCAAGACCATCACCTCATCACATGCACCCATCATCCCTGAACATTGGTCCTGGTCGCCAGAGTGAACCCTCAATGCCACATTCTGCAAGACATTCTCTCCAGCTTCAAGGGCCTTTTTCATGCCCAGTTCGGCATTCTTAAAGTCCTTCATGGTCTTTGAGCGCTGCCTCGAAGCTTCAACGGCAGGCTTGGTGGCAGCAGCTTGTCGACTTGAAGGATGCTGCGACTCAGGAACAATGTTCTTCGAGTTGCCTTTGGTGCCTTTGGGGCCTTGAGAAGAAGCTGGTCCACTAGCTCCTCTTCCGGCTGGTGCTGCCAGAGAAATGGAAGGAACAATTGACTCCTCTTCTTCAAGATCCTGAAACAACGACGCAGCTGTTTCCTTCTGCTGTTGCATTGTCCGCTCTGACGGGTTTTGTTGTTCATCGCATCTTTCGTGCAGGATCGAACGGTCCTGCAACAGTCAGAATACGTGATCGCCACTATACAGTTTGAATTTGGGTTTGAATAACTTAGCAGTCCTCAGTCCTCAGTCATATTAAGTCTTATTGAATAACGGGTTGAAACTGAGAACATGTCGATTGACTATTGACTGACTACTACTGCCGACTGCCGAATTGGAATTTTCACTGGTTGTTGATTGATTTGTCCTCGTAGCTGGCTGTTTTGGAGCCGTCGTCCATAGGTACCCAAATCCGCCAAACCTGACAGAGGCTGATAAGAAGAGTGACCACCGGTGACTGCACTTGTATGTGCTACTTCAGTTCTTCTCCTCAAAAGAGATCAGAAAATAACAAGTTTCTGAAAGTAACAAGAATTTCAGACCAAACTAACCCAATTTTAGTTGGATCAAGAAGTTGGTGAGTGGTGGACCAAATCAAACCTTGCCTTCCCAACATCTTTGCCATCACGACTCCTAGCGGATACTTGATCTTTCCTCACATCCTTCGAAGCAAATTGTTTGTTCCACAGTTGCTCTGCAGCAGGCTCGTCCAGCCCTCGGGCCAATGCTCGTGGGGCATGGCAATTGGTCTACAAGTCTATCTACTACAACTGTTCTATTTTCATTGGTCCCCTACTAACCCTATTCCTCTATGCCATCGGTAATAGCGCAAAACACTCAAAACACGTTACACACGAAATGAAATGGGAAAAATGAATTATGAACAACCACTTCTAAGTCAAGTCTGTTACATCAAAAAGACTGATTTTGTCAAGTCACTTTCATATGAAGGTGCATGATGCACATAGTAATCCACAAAGTCGGGCTTGGCGAGAGGTTTCATTCTCTGAAAGTTCTCTGTCCTCGTGCCTGCTTGATTCAATGACTTAATCCTGGCGAAGTCCCAGGTCTTTCGCTTGCGACCACGACCCTGTCCGGGACACCTAAGTGCTGAGCATAAGGACTCGGAATTTCCGAATGGGATCAGGATAAAGCAGCTTGGGGTGATGGGTCTGTCTGTGGAAAAATAAACGGTCGTCATCATGATCTGGTTCTCTCTGAGAGTGCCAAACATATAAAACAGGTAAGTAAATAAAGTTGACACTGGTTAAGTTTGAATGTTCAGTGCTGAGTGAAGTGTTGAGTTTTACTTTACATGGTGATTCCAAGTCCGAGTCTGGGTTTTGCCTCATCTTGGAGAATTCAGAATCAAATTTTGAATTGTAGCTTGTAGCTGTAGCTGTAGCTGATACAAAACCTGTTGCCCATTCCCCATTCGGATATCAACCGATGAGACACTCTTCCGAAAAATTCGCAAGATGTTCCAGAAATTCCTCTGGTCGATTCTTCTCCATGGTCTGCAATTCTTCCATGAGTTCCTGAGCATTTCTGGCCTTGCTGGCCTGCTGAAACATAGCGTCACGACTAACTTGGTGACACCCACAAAGGTTCAAGAGCCTGAGTATGACAAGTCAAATGGGCAGTGGGTAGTGGATGGAAGTGGACATGAAGCATCACCACTTGAGCATGTCAGTCTTCATTTGACTTGAGACTTGAGTTGAACATAGTCGCATACAATTGATGTACCGTACCACCACATGCAAACTTGCGATCATGCTCTAGTGGCAAGACAAGAAACTTTGTCAGCGATGTCCGGAACACCATAGTCTTGCACTTTGGTACCTGACATTTGACCTTCAGGATATCCGCAGCGGTGCGCTCAGGACCGCCCAGCGGGGGTGGTTCGTCAACCACCACATCATCGATTCTTCCTTCTGGTGTTTTTACCAGCATCATACTATCATCCATGGTCGACACGACGGTCAAGTTTTTGCCCCTAAAAAACCGACCAGATGTTCAACTTTGGATGGAGCGAATGGTAGGCTGTGTAGGCACAAGTGAGCTCAAGCAAAATGCTCCAGTAGTCACAACATCAAAATTTGGAAAGGTCAGACAGGCCGGACAATACATAACACTTACAATACAACACCACCTTGTGTTGCAATAATGTTCCTGAAGTTCATATCATACAAGCCTTTGTTCCTGGAGATACGGAGTCAAGGACCATGAAGTTAGTAAAAATATATTGGTTTGATATTGTAACATTATACATTGACAGAATGACTAGCTGTCAGAGTGTCTACTGACACTGAGCGGCCTCAGCCTCAGCCAATCAACATGTTTCCCGGCGTTGAATCATGTCTTTGGTTGAGTCTCGGAGCCTGTCGTTGGCTGTCTCTGTACATCCTAATCCCAAGAGTCAAGGGCCACATGCCACATGCCGAAAAATATTTTCTGAACATGTCAATCATTGAAGATGTACGTACTTTGACAAAGTACATTGTGAGAGCATAGGGTAGAATCCTGACTCACCCATTGGCCGCTCAGACTCACCCACATCGTCTTTGACGAAGTATCACACAGCAAGGGGTTTGGCTTTCACTCGCATCCCGGTCAGCATCACTGCATGCAGGCTTCCTATGACACTGCAATGCATCGCCTGGAAGCAATCATCATGGTGTGGAGGACTGGTTCCGGCCTCTCAGAACAACTACCTATGTGACATTTGTGATAGAGTTAAGTAAAGTAAAGTAGAGTAATCCAGTTCATTCAGTTCAACCAATCTGTGAACTTATTCTTTAAAAGTTAGAAGAGTCAAAATTTAATGATTTTATTTCAGTAGTTAATGTTGTTTCTGTTCATCCTCAAATGTCAAGTAACATTTCCGGCCAAACGCTTCCTCACCGTAGGCGCAGGCTGGTAGGTGAAGATTGGAAACGGAGCCCGAGAACCAGGAATAGGCCACTGTGGCAACCCCATACAATGTAGATGTTCCTTAGTTTATTTCACAGCCAATGTGTTGTCTGAAGAAATGGTGCAACCCTACAGGCTTGTATCCTATGTCCCATGTCTTCTAATGATACCTTTGTCAGTGTTATCATGTTTATTAAGTGGGGTTGGGGCCGGCTGGAGGTGTCAATAATGTTTGGAGGATGCCACCCAATGTACCAAGCAACAATATCAAGGAGCCATCTCTCGCTCGGGTCAACATCGGTGGTGGCTCCGCTGACAGGAGCACGCAGCAACCACATGGTCCCTGCCTTCAAGAGGGCAGGCAACCATGCGCCCAGGATTGGTCTTTTCAAAGGGTTCTGGTCTAAATTACACACCATATCCAGAGTCGATCTGTGTCCCGGTCCTTAGCTGGTGCGTTGCAATGTTGCCACAGTAAAATCATGTGGAGGATGCTGATGACCTACGACGTCAAGTTTCAGGGTTTATAAACTAGTAGATGGTGTCAGTGTCAATCGAAAGAGATTGGAAATCGAGTCTCTCCCCTGCTGGCGCAGTTTGCCGATCATCTTCTTCACTTTCGGGGACTGCTTGTACAGATTCAGCCACACCTTTTTCGTACCTTGGCAAAAGGCGCAGGCGTTGCGCAATATGTAATACTGTCCATGGCGCATGGTACATCAATACATCAAGACAGCTAGCTATCACATCGAAACATGTGAATCACAACATTTTGCGCATATTGATTTTTTTCGTCATCCATTGTCATTCCAGGCATTTCACAGCACAGCGCACCTGGAAGCAAATCAGTAAAGGTCGAAGTCGAAGATTTACACTTCTTGTGCGCAATGCACGTTCTCTCTGAATCAACCAGTTCCTGTCATGACTGAAAATGATCCAGAGAGAGACTCATTAATTCTGATAAACCGAAAGTTGAATCTGACCGACCTGAAAAATTCTGGGTCTGATGATTGATGAACACGATGATAAACTTGTATTATAAAAAAGGATTCAAATTGTCTTCAACACAACCTGCCTGTGGCGCTGAGAACAATGCAGCGACTGACATACAGGGTTTCCGGAACAGGTGTCGAAGGTGTTCGATTCCATTGGGGAAGTCTACTGTCGCATCACGTGATAATAGGCTATAGCGTCTTGGCCTATGGCATGGCCAGCCAAAGAGGTGTTGACTTAGTGCCATGGATTTTTCAGGGCGATCTTCATGTGGTAACTCATGTACACTGTAACCAGGCAGGTACTCTGTCACAGTGTCCAGCGGGAAGCGAGGAGCACATTCGTGCCAAATGCAATCCTGCGAAGGCCAAAGTCAGCTCAGTAATTCTCAAATGGTTCAGTAGCTGCTCAATTGGTTCAAAAAATGATGTTGTGTTATTTTCTGTGTTGATGTCCTCTTCACAGTAGAATCTCTCTGCTACCCATATAGCAAGTGGTATCCCAGATGGCCCCATCAGACCCATTCCAAGACCTAGGTTTGTGTGGCACACAGTACACAAGCTGCGATTGTCATGTAAGTAGTAAGTATCAACATCAAGGCATGAACTTGGGCCTAGTGACCAATGTTTGAATGGTCTGTACACGTACTTCCTGCAACAGCGACGGTCAATCTCTTTCGTGTAGATGCGGTGTCAGCATCCCAAGCCATCTTGTGTCCAAGTGGTGTCAGAGACTCCTGTCAGAACCGGTTGCTATTCTGTGAAAAAGATTGTCTGATGGGCATTGATTTGATGAAACTGCAGTATGGTTCTGTTTTGAGAAGACTTGCAAAACAGACAACATATCAAATTGTCAAGTGTATAAAATGACGCTGGCTACAGCAAATTAACAGGTTCTCCTTCATATCAGATTCATGGCATTTTGCCACCATTCGAAATACTTCTGGTCCCTCCATGAGAACCTTCATGTACTTTGCAAAGGTTTGTTTACCATGTTCTTGCAGCAGTGCAGCTTCTTCAGCTTTATCACCGTCGGTCATATAGCCTTTAGCTGGCAGCGTTGGTTTAGATCTTGATTTTGAATGATGGGCTTGTGAACCTGCAATTACATTCAAAATTTCAAATGCCAGTTTTGCAACTTCATCAAACATACCCATGTCATGACTGCATGACTCATGACATATTAGGATGAAGTCAGGAAACATTTGGCTTGCTCATGCAGTCTCAGCGATTCCTCCCGGATACTGTTGAGCTTTGTCAAGACTTTCGGTTGCACACGGCTCTCCAAGGATCCAAAAATGCAATTCGGTCGAAATGCCTTTGCAAAGGCGTGGCTGGACACAAGGGCCCAAGGACAGCACAAGCAACATACTTAGATCATAGAGATCATAGATTTTATATAATTTCTTTGGAATTTGGAACTATACACTATACACTATACACTTGACATTATACATAGTGGCGCAATGTTACAATGTTCGCTCGAGTCAGTTCAAGTCAAGTCCAGAGTCCAGAGTCCAGAAAAAAAAAGGTTTTATGAAGTAGCCTTGTCCAGCGATGCCAAGACCTTTCTGCAGTTCTGGTCGGTGTCACTTGATGTGTTGACAATCACCTTTCCGTCTCCAGGGTTCAAGCCCTTTTCCGTCAGAATACCTTAGTCAAAATGCAACGTCCGATTCAAATTCTGTGGAGAATACTAGGCTGAACCGATGTGTCATTTGTTACCCAGTGGATGAACAACTCATCTATGACATCAGGTCTGAATTGAGATTTGGTACGTTTCAACTCATCATGTTGCAACCATAAAGAGATAGACCCGCAACCAGTCCCACTGTAGCAGTCATTGATGTAAATGTCATAGTCCATGACAGCCAGTGCATTGGCAGTGCACTGGTCCCCGACATCAGGATGGTTCAGCAAACAGCAGCAATTGTAATGTGGCCAAAGAAATAGATCATTGAGGTTTGACGGACCATCGGGCCATGATGTTGCATTGACCTCATCCATTGCCATGTGGAGTGAAGAGTGAGTGAAGAGTGATAGAATTATATAATTAGTTCATACTAATACTGTGTGCTCAATAGCTGGAAACAACAATCACAGACCACAGACTGACGTGACTAGACTTACTTGCAGAGATCAACTGTATGGTCATGGTCCCATGTTCTTAAGGGAATCGCCTGTTGCTGCAACATGTTCACCACTTCGAATCCTGCCCGTGGCTGGTTGTCAGCTTCGTACACGTCATCGACCTCCACTCCGGATTGGCATTTGAATTCCTGGTTTCTTGGCTGTG